TCAGGACTGGAGGTAGGGGTCGTCCACAGAAACAGTACAAAGTTCATTTTAGTTATCAGGAACCGGAAGACGACCGCTGGTTTACAAGATCTGAACTTCTAGAGACAGCTCCCGACATAGTCCGGGCCTACGAAAGACAACAGAAGGGTAAAGGTCCTGCCKTGAATTGAAATTTTTCTCGAAGGACCTCGAATTTAGGCCGGCGGGAGTGAAACGGTATTCACCAATTCGTGGTAGCTGAGGTAGATCCCAGGGCTCGATCCCTAGTTCCCCAACTTACCTGTGTACAATACCTGCGTCAACTCGAAGAGTTGAACCTGCGACCTGCAGAACCGCCAGTGGTAGGTAGGTCTGTCGTAGGTCTATAGGTAGCCAGGATTAAATCCGTAGACCTATAGACTAGAAGGCTAGCTGCAGTCCTTCTAGAAGGTTGGCAAGTGGTCAAGTGGTGCAGGCAGTGGTCATGTGGTGCAGGCAAGTGGTCAAGTGGTGCAGGCAAGTGGGCAAGTGGTGTGACTAAAGCAGGGTCGTCGTCATACAGTCAAGGGAGAGTCTAGAAAGTACCAGTCCGGTCCAGCAAGTACCACGGGGGGAACTGTGTGCACCATGGGCCAGGGACAGGGCAGACCAATGCAGCACAAAAGTATAAATCAAGAGGCTACGTCCATTCATTGATTGATTCCTGCGGATGCCAGGCGGAAGCGCTGCCTTAGCAGCTTGTGCGAGGCGGTCTGCAGTGCGCCCGAAGACGAAGTGGGCAGAGAAGTGTAGTGTAGCGATAGGGTAGAGGCAGCTAGCGCTGCCATAGCTGTAGCATAGTATGTGTGTGTGTTGTGTATGATACTGAGTGTTGCATGTGGGACATCCAGGGTGATCCAGAGTGCGAACAGTGAGTTGTGTGGGCGCCCAGTCGCCATAGCCAGTTGAAGAGAACTCATATCTGGTTACGATATCTTGAGTACTGTGGGGCGCATGTCGCCAGTTGCTGTACCGCTGTTTGCAGGCATGACAAAGTGACAAGAAGACGAGTTTGATTTCAAAACAGTCAACTTGCAAAGCATGGCACTAGGTCAGAATGCAGAAATTTCACAGCAGCCAAACTGGAGGCCAAGAGCGGTTGTAAAAGAAGAGTCGTCAAACCATACCGCTGGAACCAGCAGCATGGAGATTGGGAAATTGCAGTCAGCAAGTCCTGGTCTATGATAGCCCTAGCAGGCCCCAATGAAAAAGTACTGGCTGCCAACATCTCCAAGGACCCCCCAATCGCTGCACACATATTAGGCGAGACAGCCGACTGGAGAGAAGAGTGGATTGATGACTCAAAGGAATTTGGTGTTTAGCGACCTGAGACCCTTCATGGTAAGATACTCAATGGAGGCTCAGCTCACAGACCACTTAGTCTAGAGGTCATTAAAGATCCTGCAGGCTATCCCCCTTAAAAGAGCAGCTGTCTCAGCATCGATAGCCGAGAGTCACACACTCTTTGACAGCAGGGAAGATCACTTGGACGGTTGGACCTGATTTTGCCAGAGAAGGCGCATGTGGTCACGATTCGCCACTCTCACCGCTTTGAGTCCCCTGACAACTAAATCACCACAACACACAGACGTAGCAGAGTCCCCACTGGAGTTCCATGGCAGCACATCAGCCCACGCTCAGCCAAACGGAGAACAGGCCCAAGCACTATATCCTAAAACCCAAGGAGCCTGAACTCTCAGTGATGCCATGGGATGTCAATGGACTAGCTACAATCTTGTCCAACACAGACAAATGGGACAACCTGACCAACTATCTTAATTGGTTCTCAAAAAGCCCCCCAAACATTGTATGCCTGCAGGAAACCCGCCTCACAGAATCCCCTTGACACAAAGCTATAATTAGCAAAATCCTACTACGACTAAATACGTATGAGCAACGTGTTGGCCCCCTGCCCCAGGGGCTGGATCTGCAGTAGCCATCCTTTGGCACAGTAACTCGAAAGCTGGCAACTTAATACAAGTAGAACGCAATAGAGCAGACCAAGTTCACAGCCGTTGGATAGAATCACTCCTCACTTTCAAGGAAGGACCCTTCCAATTCATAAAAGCTTATGCCCCAAATGCCCCAAATGCCTTTCCTCAAAGACAAATCTTTATCCAGAGCATAACAACAATTTGTAACGATCAAGAACACGTAGTCCTAGCAAGGGACAAGAACACAACCCTCAATCCAGCTAGAGACAGACTGTCATGCTCTAAACCGAAAAGGGAAAGCCAGCTGCAAACGGAGGCCCAAGCAATGCACACACTATTAATCGAAAGGAATCTACTTGAACCCCTTACAACCATGGTAACCGCCCGGACGTCCGGACCGGGTTCCAGACAGTCCGGTGTCCGGTCCCCATGTCTGGATGGAGGCCCCTGGGGCAAAAATCAAAAAAAAAAAAGGGGCGCTCCAGGACGTTTGTGGGGTCCTAGCACAAGGCCCGAGCAATTTTTAAGTGTCCTTTCACCCCACCGGACATGGCCTAGAGCTCCAGACACAAGACACTGCAGGTTTTTGAGGTGGCGGGTTTCGCACAGGCCCGAGCAA